TAGGGTTTTGGGTTTTGGGGGGTTCCTTATCATACTTGTAGCATAACCTACCCCAAAACCCAATTCTAATCATTAAGGCTCTGTATCAGGGGTTTAGGGGTTTCGGGTTCAGGGTATTACTTGGAGGATCATGGGACTTAGTAAGTAAGGTTATAAGTCCCCTTAATTGGGGTTATAAGTATAGTTGCCCTAGTTCCGACTCCGCGTAAAGGGAGTGACGACTACAAGTACAGTACTTATCGCCGACACCACCTCATTAACTAGAACTATCTCGTCATATAGGTTCTATAGGGGGATAGTATTCCTAATCTTTCGCCCCCTGGTTGTGGGGACTTTAAGGGGTCGTGGTGATACCAGACCCTACTCAAAAGCATAAACCCTAAACCCTACCTATAGTCTCCATTGTAGTTCCTTTTGGGGATACCTTATATAAACAAAAAAAGAAATACAATGGAGACTGTAGGTAAACACCAAAAGGACAGACGTCTGAGGCAGCAGCTCTTTGAGACGCGCCTGCAGCGCTTCCAAGACCTTCGGGCCGATATTGTGGGTGCTGTCTTCTGCTGCCAAATACGATAATCTGTATAATAGCTCTCTCTCTCTCTATATATATATATATATATACAAAGTAATGTAGGGGCCTGAATATATAGTTAGAATAGGGTTTTGGGGTCCATAATACTTCTATGACTATAATAAGGAACCCTAAGGAATATTCAGGAATAGTTTAAGCAATTATTTAGGCTACTACATTAAGTATAACTTATATACATATTATATATATATATATATATGTCACTACAAAGTTCAATGTAAATTTACTTTACTTAAAAACGACACATCTACAGTACATATGTATGAATAAGGCCTTAACCATTGCTTTAGTTGTGAGTATAACGAGGAATCCTAAGGATTTTTAGCGGTTAATCTTCAGACAGCTGCGTCGGTCTTACCCTTGGGGCCTTGCCACAACCCCTGTACACGATTCCGGGGAGTTGCCCTGAACTGGGCCCTTGCCAAGGAACTTAAAAACTAAGTTACTAGACAGATTGAGGAAATCATCTAATTTACAGTAGATGCCTATGATGGCCACTTTTTTCACGAGGGACCCGACTGATGGTAACTTGAACTACTCCATTCTTTAACAAGAGCCCACTGAATGCTTGGGCTGCAGAGCTTCAACACGCTTCCGACTATCTGGAAGTACACATGCAACCGTGTACTTTGCAAACCTACTGCACTGCATATATGCCTCAACTCAGCCTGTGATAATGCGAAGAAACAGATGTAAACATGCGCAAGTTCTGCGTAAGTTCTGCATAAGCATGGGCACAGATTCATGAACATATCAGAACATATACCTAATTCGACTGGAGGAGGGGGGGCGGCAAGGAGCATATCCAAGGACATATCCAAGGGCAAAAGCCGGCTTACCAACGCATGACGTGTGGAGTTGGCCCTCCTGCCGTGGAAGTGCCTCCTTGCGGAATCCGTCGCAGCCTTCGTTGGCTGCAGCCCTGCCATTGACGTTTCTTTGAAAATCTCGGGGTTACTTGAAGAGCCTGTTTTTGCTTCTCGGGACGTTCCTTGGTTGGCGTGTGCAGTGCCAAGTAACCTTGAACCCCAATCTTCATCAACTCATTCGTCACCGCTTCTGGCCTGAGATGTACTGTAGGGCCTGGTCCCAGAACCGAATGTACAGCTCCTGAAACAGCTACGAACCTTGGTTGCGGAGTGATAAGACCGTAAGCCCCCTCGCATGCGTTCGCGCACACACACACACACACATACACATGCGAGAGCGAAGACGCCAAGCGAGATCTGAATCCTCTACGGCAGACTGCAGATCCGGCCTGTAGAGACCGGCGAGCTGGAGCCAGTTTTCTGATCGTCGGGCAGTCTGCACCTGTTCCTGGAAGAATTTCCATCTTGCAGCCGCTTTAATCTCACAAACCTGAGATTAAACCGACTCAGCTAGGTCTTGGTGCCACTTTCGGTACCCTCGTCACGGAGAAGAGGTTTCCGGCTTCGCACAGCATCTAAGGTAAGTATATGAATATATCCGGAGAGTTGAATGGAAGTTCTCTTTGCGTTCCGATAATTACGCGGAGAAACAGAAACCCATTGTTCTGCCCTCTTGGAGCTCTTCGGCTTTAGGGCTCAACAGTGGTTCAACCCTAAACAAAGCATGTACTTGTTAGTTGCTTGATGTTGCGTGGCTCGTCCAAAGCCGTTCGTGTGTGCACAGTTGCTACCATGTTTGGGATGCCTTACCGTCTAAGCGTCCCAAGTACGATGTCCCACCAGAAAGTCCTAGATGGCAGCTGTGCCGAACGAAACGGGGATTTTCGGAAAATGTGGAGCCGTTACGCCGCAGAAAAACGGAACCCGGCTAGATGGCTAGACATCTTGAAACCAGAGCAAGCACGAGGTCGCCCCATAGAGCTCCCCTGCCCTTTAGACCCCCCGGCCTCCCAAGCAGTCGACGCATGGGCCGCAATAACACCTAAAAGGAACAAGTGGGCTTTGCAATAGAAACGGTAGAACTTGGTGTGTAGACAAAAGTAGGGCCTACGTAAGGCTTAGATTTTGCGGTGTAGGTTGGGCTTATACCTGAAGAGGCCTGGCAGACCAGCAGGACCAAGTCCCTGGTGCGGCTTTGCTCACAACAACTCGCAGTAGGAACATGCAGTCATTCAAGATGAAGCCGTCGGCTCGATTGGGAACGATGTCGCCGAAATAAACCCTATACATACACATATGTATGCAGACACATATATATATATATATATACATATATACACACATATTTTTTCCTCCAGCAACTTGGCAGTGCTGATGGTGTCTCCGAAATTCGTAGGGGAAATGCCATGGGGGTTTGGGAGCCCGTGGGTTTGGGTTTAAATCCAGGAGCGGACTCTGCGGGCGACGGTATGGGCACCGACGTCCACAGCCGACTCAATTTTCTGGGAGCCCCTGATAGAGCCAAGAATCAAGTTCCACATGGAATGGATCCTCGTACAAAACCCCGTAACTCGTGCTGTATTGCAACTTTTATTCCCCTGAACCATCATCCTGACAAGCCGGAACAGGCCATTGCGGTCGAGGAGCGCAGCCCTTCTTTGTCCGCAAGACGCCAGATCTGGGCGATCTTCGTGGAATCGCCTGGGGCCCGGTAAGAATGACGTCAAGGGGCTACTGTGCCCTTCGGCTCTGTACACGATCCCTGCGCTGAAACCCCTGGATGCACAGTCTGTCACGAGCAGACAGTAGCCATTGCGCCCCTTCCGGTCCTAACTTGGCGGCTTCAGTGGTTCTTTTGGGAGCCGCCAAATCAAGGCCATGCGACAGGTGCATTGCCGCCGCATGCAAGTACACTATATGGGAAGTCATGCAGACGCACGCCACCCTAAGCTCAAAGTGCCGCCAAACCCTAAACCCTTATAAACCCTAAACCCCAAACCCCGAACCGAGGGGGAACCTGCATCTTTTGCGCCGTCGATCATTGCCTTGGCCAGCCGCCGGCCTTCGCAGCGGGATGGGATCTTCTGTGAGCTTTTGGCATGGAGATGGGGCCTACCCACAGGCCCTAAAGTAGTTCCTTTAGGGAGTTCATATATAGAACCCTATAAGGTAACCCCAAAAATGAACTACTATGGGGCCTATGGGCATGTTATCCTATGTCGTTCATGTCGCCTTCTGGGCCAGTGTTGCAAAGATCGCAAACCGCATTTGAGTGCCAACAATGGTGCAACAAGCATAAATAAGCAAATTTTCGCCTCAACAACGAAACAACAACAAACAAACACAACCAACTCAGTAAATAAAACCTAGCAGCACCAACGCGTTGCAAACACGACACACGGTAGCCAAGATCGCCACTCTGAGCAGGAGCTGATACAGCTGCAGGAAGCAGGAAGAGATGTGGGTAGTTTCAGGTATATCATGAACGAACAAGCATTTCTGTAAACACAACCAAAGGCAACACACATACCCAAGGACAAAAACACCACAACTGAGGTAGACAGCGAACAACCAGCGAACAAACAAGGGAAGCAAGGAACCGACCATCAGGTGCAGCCGCTTGCACTTTCGCTTCTCTTCTCTGCACGGTTGCGTGCGCCCGTTGTGATTTTATCCTAGGCCCGGCGACTCCAACGAGCTGTCCTCAACAGCTCATTCGGGAAAGCCCTACATCACAACCTGCTGCATTAGTGCATTAGAGTGTCTTGCCTCCCACCTCGCTAGGCCGAGCCCGCATTCCAAGAGTCAGGGTTTAAGGTTTCGGAACCATGCCACACTAACGACACACTAGCGACGCACATACCCTAAACCCTAAACTCTAAACCCTCAACCCTAAACCCTTGCAAAA